TTTCATGCAAAGGCCGCATTCCAGCGCCCAAGGCCCGCGAAGCGGGTTTTGGGCGCTGGTGTTCAAATAAAACCAAGCTTTGTCAAATCGCTCTCCTTTTGACAAAACCTAGTCAAATCTTTGGATTCAAATAAGAAATGTCAAATTTCGAGACGAGTTGGGCTAAACTATCAACCGCCAAATGTCGCACAGCCCTGCAACGCCGTTTTTGCAGAATGCCGGAATCAAAAATATCGACAACGAAAATGCCGACACAAAAAATTTTAGATATAGATGTTAGCATTGCATTTCGGAACAAAACCTCCCGTCGGCATTTTCGCGTTTCGGCAGTTAGCACGTCGGCATTTTCAAGTCGGCGTTCTGACAGTTGTTATATTGCGCTTGGCGAGCCGATAGGCACTTTGGTTGACTGCCGCTGATTCCGTTCACCGAAAAACTGGAAACCCTAACAATCCCGAAATACCGAAAAATATCGTCATTTTTCACTATTCGGCATTATTGCATCTAGGAAATGGTCGGCGTTGCTATTCTAAGTTCAACAAAGGCCCTTCTTGAATCTATGGGTGCGATTTTTCAAATTTCGTTGAGCTTGTCCAGCTCGGCTTTATTTGAATATGTTCAAATATATTTGAATCGGAGCGGAGGTGGTTCCGTTATTTGACCGATTATTTGAATAATTTCCGGGATGCCTTCAAATAATTTATTTGAGCGGGCTCGAATATATTCAAATAATTATTCAAACACGACACACTCTACTCACATGTCATTAATTCACCCCTTTCCCCATTTTTGAAAGGAAGTAAAAAGCTAAATGCTGGTGTCTCTGATCACGGCTTGACTGGCTAATAACAGAGTCTCAGACACACAATTCACCTGGGCCGGAAGTCGAAAAGAAAGCGAAAAGGGAAGGAGACGACAAGCATAGCGGATATGGCTTGAAGCAGCGATTGTCGGAAAAGATCGGGCTAAAAGTACGCATTTTTTTTCAACATTTGTGCCACTTTGTCATCAAGTTTCTTTGATAGCCAAATTGCCTAGTAAACTGTCATATGGTCTGGGCTCCAGATAAGGTGCTGGAATCGAGAAGATTGATTGGATAACTACGAAAATTTGAAAACTGAAATTTTCAAGACTTCGATTTCCGAACCCGGCTCGTTGGCTGGCAGTGGAATTATGCGGCCGATTAAAGGTGAAACTGAGGTACAAAACCCGGTATATACGGTACTGGCAGTCAAACCATCTGCCAACACCCGCAGGCTCCAACTCGAGGGTACCTGAATTGAATTTGGTAAAAATGAGGGTCAAATGATCTACTACGATTTCTACCGTATTCACTACCATCCAGTCTACCGGACCCGGAAACAAAATGGCTTAAACCTGAAAAATGACAATTACCCTCCAGCCTCTCAACTCAGGTACCCTCGCAGGTATCGGATTTCGGCGCCGTCAAAATGACTCAGAAATTATCTGATTACGTCAGCACCGTATTGCTTGCCAAGCAATTGACCGGTAGAGAAAATCCGGATCCGGAACCGATTACGTAAAAATGACAATTGACCCCTTCCACTCTCTCCCAAAGGGTTATCACTTCCAATACCCGGAACTCTCAAAATGTTCCTGGTCGACTCATCTCCCCCTTCTACTACTACTTCCTCTTAACCTACGCTGCGTCTCTACCCGTTCCCTGTCTGTCAGAAAGGCCAGAGTGCAGACAGGGGGGATTATTCTGTGGGAGAAGACGTGCCTGTATTCCCTTCTCTCCAATTGGAGAGACAGCCCCGCCTCCCTCCCCTCTATAAAGGGATCGGCTATCTGCCAGCCAATTCCCCTCCCAGTAAAGAGGTGTATCTCGAACTACAGTACCCTCTATCTCTCTGCCAATCAAATGTGGGATTCACGGTGCTATCAGAATCCGTTGTCTCTAATTGAGTGGCCCCAAATGGCCTATCATCATCATTCGGATCCTTCTACTTCTTCTTCCCCTGCCCATCAATATCTGCAGCTACAGTACCATGTCTGGAGTCATGCCGCGTACTGTTGGCCCTTTGGCATGTGAGTTTTCGGGGAAATTTTTTTTGCAGATTTATGTGCAATTTTTGGGAATTTGGGGTTACGGTAGTGAATAGGATTTTTTTTTGCATATTTTTTGGTAGTTATTTTGTTAACGGTCTAACATACATCCGTTAGTGAAAAAATTGAATAATCATTTATCTTTTTCGTAAGCTTTGCCTGGGTTTTCACAGTTTTGGATTTTCTTGAGATTTTGGGATTACGGTAAGAAACTCCGACATTGTTTTACTTTTTGTATTGATTTTTACTACCTGTATGACTGGCAACCACTTCGCGTAAAAATTGATCGATTGCGGCATATAATCAGAGAGAAAATTCAGGTACCCGAAAAGGTACCTGAATGTTGCAGGTACCTGAATTTCTATGGGTTCGCAGTGCGCGTAAAACTTTTGAAAATAAGTTCCCTGTCCTTCAAACAGCAAGCTTTCAAGCCAGTTTGAAGCCTGTTTATAATCGAAAATTCTTTTTGTTGTATTTTCGGTATTTGGCAGTTACAGCCCCCATAATTACCTCTTTTGCCACCCGGCTCGTGCCTTGTTTTCCAGTAAATATTTACCTCCGAAATTTCTAGCGTCTCTCTTGGGATTTTATCAGGCAAAAGTACAAACAAATGAAATGTTCAAAAGCGCTCGTGAGTTTTGAAAACATTTCACAACAACTTTTTTTTCAAGCTTCATCCTAAGAAGCTTGATCTTGTTGAAGCTTATAGATAGAAAGAGGGAGTGGATTAGTGTCGTCTTCACATCCACGCGTATATCCGCTGCGATTCATGCGATATACCCGGATTAGCATCGGCTTCTGCTAAAAATAGGCCCACTCCGTCCGGATTTGCGTCGTTTCGTGGAGGGTCTTCCCAATTCAACGGTGCCACATGGCCGGGGGTCACTTGGCTGAGTGCCCTCCGGTACTTCCGGTTGAGGTCTCACCTCATTCTTGGGCTGCCAGTTTAGCTAGAGATCTTCTTATTTCATAAAAATTCTTCATCCCTAAAATTAAAAAAATTACGAATTTTTGATACGAACCAATTTTTGAATTTTTCAAAAATCGAAAATCTACTGTAAAACTAATTATATATTTTTGTTGATAGTTTATTGATGCATACTGACTGCTTTAAACCTTTTCTAGTAAAAAAAATATTTCATGTAGTAATCAGTTAAAAATCAGGTACCCTCGACCTAACTTTACAAAATTCCTTAAAAACCATTTTTTTTTAACCTACGTCTCTCTGTCTCGATCAGCTCTGAAAATGCATACTGGCTACCGTAATTTATTTTGTAACAGATACATTCCAATGGCTAATTTCAGTTCAGGTAACTTGGGTCAATTTTTACAAAACACCTTACAAATCGTCTGAAACCCAGAAATAGCTTACGCAACAAAATGCATTCGTGAATCTGGCGACCAGCTTGGCCACTTTTAAATTCGGGCCGTCATTTCAAAATGAATTGGCCTTCCCATGACAAAGATCCCTCTTTCAGGGTGTCTGTCTGAAATACTTGAACTTCCCCCTGGTTCGCCTGCCCCCTGGGAATCCCCCTCTTTCTCTGCTCTCTCCCCTCTCCCCCTCTCTTCCCCCTATTTCACACTAATTGTCCGCCAGAATAGAAATGGGGGCCCTTTTTCTTTGTCCTTGATTTCGGGAGTATCTGAGGGGTGCATATTTCAAAATAGATACAAATTATGGGGGTGGCCTATTCTGGGGGGTATTTGGGTACCTGGTTCGGCGTGGGGATATCAGTAGTAGCATCTGGAGAGGAGAAGCATGAGCCTTTGAACTGATGCTATCACCCTATTATATTCAACTGTCACCTGTACTACGCTTTGGCTACAGTCATAGGCGGTAAATATTTTTATTTTGAGGAAATAGATGAGTTTTCTAGGTTTACCATACTTACCGTCCTACAGTTTAGGTGGGAGGGTACCTGAATTGTATTAATTGTGCTGGGGACCCTGTGGCTATTTTTGTATTACAGTTTGAGAGACAGGGTACCTGATTCAGGAAACTGGCATAATTTAATCAAGCTTTAATTCATACTAGTTTGTATTTTAGCGTGGCAGCCGGATACATGAATTTTCAGGTACCTGGTCCTGATTAATATATTCGTCTTTCAATATAGTTTTTATTATAGCATGTCAGTCAGGGTACCTGAATTTTCAGGTACCAAGTTTAACTAACCGAATTAGTTAAATTTACGCCAACTGATGTTGTTCACCATTTAATATGCCAACCAGTAAAGTTATTGCAACCATTTTCTACTCTTTTCCCCCAAGTGATCTCTGCAATAGGACACTGACCAATTAATCCCATCACACCAAGTTCAAGCTGCAAATTCCGCAGCTAGCCAATTTTCCCACCGTCAATCAGCTAGACCGACACGATAGACCAGCTAGTCAAAAAGTTCCGGAATTCCTAATTCCGGGTGGCGTAAAAAGCTTGGGATTAGCGAGATCAACTGGCAGAAAGAAGGAAGAAAAGAAAAGACCCGGAAATCTGGGGCCCAAAAGGGGAAAGGGGGAGGGAATAAGCTGTTCCCCCGGGAGGGCCAAAAAGGGGGAGACATTCAATTATCCGCTTTCTCTCTCTCCTGGGGGATACGTGTCTATTAATGGAATACAAAAAGGGGCGGAAGCAGGGCAAGGAAAGGCGGAACTGGAACTCATAACGGCTACTTACCTTCCCACCTCCCATTTTGAGCCGCGGCTTTTGTTCCGCTTCCGCTTTTGGGAGGGGGTGACGCATTCTGGGGGATCACAAGTACAAACTGTCTAGTGTATAGTAGGAAAGTACTCTTGTATACTAATACTACTGCTTCTTGAGATAACTGGAATCGGTTACCTGAACGAGGGTACCTGAATTTTCAGGTTCCTAGAACCGGGGTATCTGAATTTTCACGTAGCCAGATAATCGTTTGTAAAGTTTTTCTGAACCTATGCATGCCATGTAAGGTATGTATTGAAACCAAATTTAAATAGATTATGTCTGTATCACTAAATTGGAGAGTACCTCAAATTTCAGGTAGCCACCGAATTTTAAGTTTTGCGATTTTTGCTAATTAAAGAATTTATTAATATTAGTTTCCGTGCGATTAAATTGATCACTTTTTCAGCAGTTCATCAGGAGACGCACCTCGCCGTTCCTCATCGGCCTCCGAGAAGAGCCTCTCGTGTACGGTATGTGCCGATTCGGCCGAGGGATTCCACTTTGGAGCTGTTGCCTGTGCTGCATGTGGAGCTTTCTTTAGGTGCTTGCTTTTTGCTTATGGCTTGGATAATCGATATGTAGCTTGTTTTGCTTGCTGGCTTCGCTTTTAACAGATTGTTTGCATGTTTTTGGGCCTAGGAAATTGGCATGAAATGAGGATACCTGAATTGGGGTAACGAGAGCTTTTTGGTTATCTATTTTTTGCTGGCGAATTAATTGATCGTGTGAAACGGGATACAATTCAGCTCGTAAAATTTAATTTGACCAAATTTAGCTCAATGTAACATAAATACCCGATTAAAACGAAAGGTACCGGATTCCTGGGTACCTGAATTGAGGCACCTGAATTTCCAAATATTTTTCTTCCCGAATTTTCGTTTAAAAATAAATTCTGTTATATGAAATGGCATACAACCAACAGATTAAATTAGATTAAACCAAATACTCCTTTCCAGAAGATCAGTATCCGACCAAAAAGTGTACGCATGTGCCCACCGCCGTTGCAATGTTCGATTCGACTCGGCGAAGCGAGGGGGTATCTGCAGATATTGTCGATTCGAGAAATGTCTCTCCGTCGGAATGTTGCCACAGGGTACTGTATTACATATCGTAATCAATCAGTTAATTGGTTTTAGAAGTTCAAGCGAAGAGGGTGCGGAAAAGCGAATCGGTCAGTTCGGCGGCTACCGCATCACCCAGACCGGTAGGCTAATTAAAATTTAACTTTTTAAACGTTAATGTTTGTCATAATAAATAAGCAGGATGTCAGTTTAAATCTACAAAATATTTTCAGCTCCCCCTGCCCCGTCGAAAATCCACAACGGGCCAATTGGAGGCCCTGGTGCAACTCCGCCGTGACGTGGCCGCAGCGCGTACGAGAATATACAGCGGACAGAGCCCCAGATTCGGATTCTCGAATTGGAGACGATACCTGGGGGTGGAATGGCAATTATTCGTCTCTCATCTCCTCCCATCGGCCGCTTTTTCCCAAATGACACGAGAAGCCTCTATGGTATTGGAGCAACCGAAAGAAGAGCCATTGGAGGCGCCCTGTTCTGCTTCTTGTTCATCTACTTCTTCGGCCAATTCATCTACCGCTTTAAACACTGCTCCATCCTCTCCGCTTCCAGACAATTGGGCTTCACTCCAACCGGTGGGTTTTTGGTACTGGATTCTTAGCGGGGGGGGGGGGAGGGCTGGCAATTTTTCCGAGACATTTTTCCGGAAAATCTAAAAATTGAAAAATAAAAACCAGAATTTCAAAATTCAAATGCCGGTTGCAAATTACTAGGCAAATTTATACTGACTGTCAGTTAATAAAATTCCATACATAAAACCCCTTTTCAGAGCCGTATCCGGGAGTTGTTCTTCCTGTTCGTGGTGTTCGAGATGGCATGTGCCACTTCAATCTATGGTGGTGTCCAAATGGATCGATGTGCATTCTATGATGGAAGTCATGTCGAGCTGACCGACGATTCGTTGAGAGGGTTCTTTGCTGAAGATCCGGCCAACCAGGATCCCGACTGTTTGACGAGGTGGGTACCTGAAAATCGTAGAAAAATATAAAATTTAACAAATTAATTTTTCCAAGAGAAAATCATGTATTTGACATCCAGAGAGTCCAAATTACATAACGGCATGTAATTTGGTTTTAATTGTCTGCCAAATTACTCGCTTTTTTGTAAACATCGCTGGAAAAATTCCTAAAAATCCGATTTTTTATACGAAATCATAGATATCCATCCATAACCCTCATATAGCATTTCGATATGTAATTCCGTTCAGACTTTCGGTGGAATTCTTCGATCTGATTGTTCGTGTATGCAGTCGGAATCTGCAAGCAGCCCATTTGGATGAGATGGAGACCGCCTATCTGTTCTACGCAACGCTGGCACATGGAGGTGGGCACCTTCAGAAAGCTCGCCTTTGAAAGAATATCCGCTTTTAAATGGGCAAAAATGACGGTTTAACAATTAAATTGACTAAAAATCGGTGTAACTTTAATTTACCGCTTTTGTACAGAGGATACCTGATTCAAAACGCCCTTTTTCAGCAGGGTACCTGATTTTTCAGGTACCTTTGCAAAACGAGGACCCAAATTTACTTAGGCTTATAAATTGAAAACATCTTGATTTGATAGCGTACCTAATTGTAAAAACGCTATAATGACGGTTTAACCGTTAAACTGGCTAAAAACAGACATTTCGAGAGAGTACCTGATTCGAAAAACCCCGATTTTGGAGGGTACCTGATTTTAAATGCGCAAAAATCGGAATTTACCTGTTAAGCTGGTTAAAATCAAGTCTTTTCCAGCCCTCCGCTCCCAACTGGACAGTACCCCAGCCACCCTTCACGCTGAAATCGGTCTGTACTACGAGACAGGTGGGGCAGAGGTATGGCAAAAGATGGGCCAATTGGAGCAGCTTCTCCCTCCTCTCCTCTCTTCTCTTCATCGTTTCAAGGAACTTGTCGTCATTGTTGAGTTGTTGTTCGGTTCGTGGGCATCTCCGTGAGCCAGTTTCACTGAAAATTGATTCTCACCCTTTTAAAAATTACAAAAACCAATTTAAATTCAACTTAAATTGTTATTCGCAGACGGTACAAAAAAAGTCTACGAAATTTTTTTGCGTTTTTCACTTTTTGCATTTTTGAGATTTTTTTTGGGTTCTGTGAACGCCAGTTAATCAATTTAGCAAAATTTTGTAAATTAAAAGTTCAAAAGACGCTTTTAAAGAGTTTAAATTAAAAAAAATGTTGCTCTCAAGAATTTTTGTAATTTTTTTGTTGGGTTCTGTGAACGCCATGTTCTCTATTTGTTTTGTTTTATTAATTTTATATTGTGTATATTGTATATTATACATTGTATATATTTAATTGTTATTAATTGTCACTCAAAAACCTCGATCTCCCCATTTAAAAAATCTGTGATCCCCAGAATTTCCATACAGAGTATTTTTCGATATTTTTTATTTTTAGGATTTTCCAATTGGCCTCCACTTTTTTTAAATATGTAATATATTTTTTATATTGCTCACCATTTAAAGTTATTAACTATAAAAAAAAAATCGATTTTTTATGATTTTTCCCATGAGGCCTTTACCTACAAATTTTCCGTGTTTTTAATCGATTTTTTCGATTTTTCGGGCGTGCAAATAAATTGTTACTGCATTTTTCTCTTAAATGTGTATTAAGAATGATATTTACACATTTAACAATTCGATTAAAAGTTATAAATAGAAATTGGGGCTTAAAAACAAAAATGGAGATCGGGGATCGGGTGATAAATAGAAAATAACGAAAAATGGCTTATTAAAGTTTTTATAGCGAGATCAAGGGTCGAGATTGTAGAAGTCTGGTTAAATGGACGGCAATTTAAAGATATACGTAATAGAAAAGTTTAGAACATGGACTTCTAAAGGGTTTGAGTCAGCAAAGAAAATCAGGTACCTTAAAACAGAGGTTTTTGGGCACTAACGCACGTAAAAAAAATCAGGTAGTTGATTTTTAGAGGATCAACCCTCGAATATGCATAACAGTGACATATTCCCTCAAATTGAAGAGAGCTTCGAGAAAGAAAGAGGCTGTCAGACAGAGATTGCCCAGTTTCGTCCCGATCACTCCCTCACGGGCTGAATAGTGACGGTGAAGCTCTTGGCAGAGGATACCCCGGCACGTCGCTGAATCGTTCTGTTGGAACGCTGAAAATGGAGTATGAGCTTAGTTGGCATACAGTTTGCGTAAAAATAGACATTTTTTGGTGCTTGGCTGTTATCGGGGGGGTTCTGACAGGTGGAAACAACTAATTTTTTTTTCTCCCTGCTTTATCATAAATACGTGATTTTTATATTTTGTTAGTTTTTGATTGCTGGAAAGTCACAAAAATGTTTTAATCATTTTTGAAAACTCGGAAAAATTGATTTTTATGGGCATTTTTCATAAATTTTTGCAAAATAGGGAAAAATTTTCAAGATTTCTGTGATATTTTTTCTCTAAAATACTTTGTAAAATGCTATGAAATAGTTAACATTTGTTGTAGGAGATTCTGAGGAAAAATTGCCCCCCCCCCCGCTAATGGCCCAGTTGCGGTTTAAGAATGATACGGTAGTTGCCAGTTTGCAAAATTCCAGGCAAAAAAAGTTCAAAATCCCCCAAAGCCCCTCATTGACCCCTAATTTCCTCTAGCTGCCGGTCAACCCGTATGGAAATCCTTCCGGATTCCAGAAATACGCCCTCACAAGGAGCAGCAGCTTTCTTTTGCAAGGGGGTTATCTCACCCTCCCGTAAGGGCAGGACAAGAACTGGGTCTACCCCTCCCCCTCCCCCCTCCTGTAGACGATCACTTCCTGGTCTCGATTGTCCCCCCCTAAGGGGATCAGATTCGAGTCGGAGATATCTCGGCTGTCCTTTCACCCCCTTTCCCCTCTTCTTCCTGGTGTTGCACAATTTAGCAAGTCTGACACCACCCGTTTTTCGATCCCCTAATACCGTAGTGTTGCGTGGTGTCTGGTGGAATCGAAAGTGAAAAGGAGTGGGGCGTACTTACTTCGAAAGAGGATTTTTGGTACTGGTTTCTTAACGGGGGGGGGGCGAAATCGCGAAAGTGCAAAGGAGCGCATCGTACTTACTTAGAACAAGAAGTTTTGGTACTGGTCCCATACCGGGGGGTGTCAGAATAACAGATGCTAGAAACAACAAACCAGAAGTTTTGGAGCTGGTGCATTAACGGGGGAGGCCCTGCATGACTAACCAACGCAAAACATTGAGAACCTTGCTACTGGGGCATTAGCGGGGGATGAGGGGATAACGGCGTCTTAGATCCCGAATTTTTACTTTTAAAAACTTTAAAAAATTTAATTTTGTTTTGACGATTTTCCCAACTTTTCTCCAAAAACCAAGATTTTTTTCAAAATTTACTTACTTAGCCAGGAGGTAGTGATGATGTAGTGGACATAAGCTGTCTCTGTTTCATCCAGCTGGAGGGCCTGTAGAGCCTTGGCACATGTGCGGATCAAATGCTCGAAGAACGGTTGGGCCAGTCTGAAAAATACGTGAAATTTAGGTATTTTAAGAATTCTGGCTTTTACTAAGCCTTTAAGATTTTTAATTTTTAAGTAGTTTTGTGCTAACGGGCTTAATCTGGATTTGGACTGATTAATTTGATTGGATTCTGAGTTAAGCATGTTTACTGCGGTAAATTCGAGCAAAAACGCGGCGATACAAATGACGGGTCAATTCAGGTACCCTCGAACTTTTTCGCTTCGACGGTCCTTAAAAGTGGGTTTTTCGAGGATTTCTGGGCTAACTGGCAGGCACCTGATCTAATGTCAGCTTTTCCTTTCCGAACCCTGTTAATTATCGCAAAAACGGGCCGTCTGATAGCCAGCCGAACCCCCAGCGATAAATCAGTGAAAGCGTGTCGCATCGAGTTTTCAGCTTTTTTAGCGGCGCTAGACGGCTATCTGGCTAGCGAGGCATCTATCTTTATGCCGTATATTCGGGTGCGAATGTCCTTTCCGAGGCTACAGTTCCGAAAGTTCGTTCAGAGCCACCCGATTTGCTAGTTCGATCCCTTAGCCGCGCGATTTATCGGCCTTGTCCACCGGAACAACCCAACTTTCCGCTCCGGTTTTTTGGGGATGCTTAAACTGGAGTGTAATGGAATTTTTGAAACTAAATTTTGATTCTTGTGCATTATCGGGGGGAAGTGAATCCAGGGGTAAATTTCCCCAAAAACCCAGAAATGCATAGTAGCGTCAATTAATTGTCATAATAGTGTTGATCCCTTGTTTAAAAACCTAGAAAATTATCACAATACCAGCGCCCAAAACCCGCTTCGCGGGCCTTGGGCGCTGGAATGCGGCCTTTGCATGAAAAATTTGACTTCCCGATAGCTCGGGTCCTTCGGACCCCTTCCCCCCACCGGCCACACAACGCGAGTGCAACTGGTAAGAATGAGGAAATTTGTATTTTTCCGCATTATGCAAATTAGCCCTCAGGGACCCCAAAAAATGAATAAAACCGGCTTTAACTTTGTAAACTTGTATTTTATCGAAATTCTGACAACGCCATCGGAAAGAGGAGGGTCGATTCCCCCGGGTGACGGAGAATTAGGGTATTTTATGCACGGGAAGGCCCTCAAATCGGGCCTCGAAAGTGACATCCACACACACACACACACACATACGCGCCAAAATTATATAAGGTAGGATACAAAAAATTGAAAAGATTGGAAAAACTGGGCTTTTTGTCCCCCCATCCGCTAAAAGTACAGTCCTACAGACTACAGTATGCCCTACAGTACCCACCTAGCCATACAGACCGGATCGGCCAGAGGGGAGGCGCTGTAGAAGATGGTGAGCGATTCCATGTCCGCGTCGATTTTCAGGCCCGTCTGGAAATATTTAATTGTAGCCAATTTAACAGATTAAATTTTTAGCTTTTTGAAATATTTTAAAATTGTTAAATTTAAGAAAACAAAACCGATTAAATTTAAAAAATAAATTTCTAGAAAAAGTTTCACATTTATTAATTCTTGAAAAATGCTAAAATTGGCCAAAAATCTTCTCAGGCTGTAGTTTGGAGTCCAGATAAAATTTTGGAGTACAAACTACACCGTAATTACAACTTGTCGTTAGCATGTACAGTAACGTACAATCCAATCGATTTTTAATGATTTGATTTTCAGGTTGTAGTTTGGAGTCCAGATAGTGTATTGGACTACAAGCTACACCCGAATTCCCCTTCTGCCTGCCAGTACGTACAGTAATGTACATGAGATCTTGATCCTTTGCAGCTTTCCTCCTTCCCCAGCCAAGCATTCAGTCCACTAGGTTCCTAATTCCACCCAAACGAACTAGCTGCCAGAAGCCGTAGCCTGATCTTCCAAATGATCGACACCGGATAGACAGGGGTGGACAGATAGACTGAACCGACAAACAGACAGACAAGTTCGGCACGGACAGACAAAGAACTTATCATGCCGGCCAGAGGGGATCTACCGGCTAGAGGGTATCTTACAGATGTCAGATAATGGATTTAGAGAGTGATATCTCCAAACTGTCGTCGATAGTAGCGTACCGTAGTGATACAAGCATCCATCTGTACACCACCACCTCGAACGGTCGCCAGAACAAGTTCAAAGACATAGTGAAGGTAGAAGAAATCGGTGTAGGCACGGGAGGGTTCAGGGGTGGGTGGGCCTCCCTCGTAGGAGAGCCAGTCCAGGTCTCTAAAAAGGAAAAATTAGATTTTTAGCATGCTAAAGGGACTGGAACAGGTAGCTTGACTGTCAGTTTGAGCGAATCTGCTGATTTCCATGAAAAAACACATAGATTTTTGAGGTTTTAAAGGTTGCCAGTTGAAGAGAATGGCTGAGAACGGTCTCTGCTGTCACTGCCCCTTTAAAATCATTTTTAAAGGGTTACCAACCGAATTCGTTGAAATAGTGGATGATGGATGAGATGTTCGGAGAATAGATGCCATTCAATCGATAGTTCATCGACATGCAGTTGGACACGAGAACGTTCCCACTGAAAACGAGCGGTAAATCGATTACGGCAGGTATTTCTGGCCAGAAAATCGATAATTAGAAAAATTGCGGGAATCATCGCTTGATTTTGGCTAACTGGGTGGCAATTTAGCCAATAATAAAAGCTGGTGCTCAGCAAAAGCCAAAATCGATAAGTTATCGATTGATTTATGTAAACTGACTTCCAGTTCGCGTTTTTGGCCAATTTATATAATTTTAAAACCTTTAAATTCCAAATTAAACTGACATGCTCGGGTTTGATGAGCTGCCTCCTATTCTCAGCCATCCTCCTCCTCATATCGATTAGAGAACCGAGAAACGGGGTTCCGTTCTCCCCGTGACGCATTTCCTGCAAAAACTCAATAATTTTTTTGAGTTTTCAGCTATCCAGGGACCATTTTTACGATTACATTAGCTAGAATTCCCACCAGAAAGGCATCGGGTTGGTTGACGACTCCGTCTTGACGTTGACGACGCACGTGAACCTCTGAAAACGGCTCGATGTAGGGCAGTTTGAGTAAAAATCGATAAAAATCCTTTTAAAAATGTAGGAAAAAATTTTTGGTTAGTTAAATACGTTTTATGGAAGGCAGATTAACCAAAAATCCATATAAAAATTGTTTAAAAGGTTTGGAAAATTTTTAATTGATGAAACTGACCGGTGACGAGCATTCCGGCAGTGAGACATTTCTGGAATCGACAATACCGACAGTGACCACCACCGACACGGGTTGTATTCACTGAAAAAGAGGCGTGTCACAGTACCTTTAAACATTTTACAAATAAGTAAAATAATTTATTTCAGCGTCAAATGGTCTCTGCTACTTTGCCCAGTCAAAAAACGCGCCAAATTACCGATTCGTCAGGCATTCACCAGATTTTTCGGACTTTCATGTTCTCAAGGAATCTCTGCTGGCTTGCCTGTCTCAAAAAATCCGTACAGTTCGCATGAATTTTAACTGGCAAGCTGCCAAACCAATCAAATGGTCTCTGCTAGCCTGCCTAGTGAAAAATCGCCAAAAATTATAGATTTTCAGGTATTCTCCCGATTTTTTGAACTTTCACCTTCCCAAAAAATCCCTGTTAGTTTGCCTGCCGTACAGTTCGTAACAATTGTAGCTTACAAGCTGCCAAAAATTCTCAAATGATCTCTGCTAGCTGGCCTAGGCAAAATACCAAAAATTAGCGATTTTCTGGTATTTTCCCGATATTTGGATCTTCACGTTCCCAAAAATCCCTGCTAGTTTGCCTGCCCTGCAGTAAGTCCGCCTACAAACTGGCAAGCTGCCAACTAACCCATACAATACTTATAAGTCTCTTTAAAAAGACACACGTACCTCTATAGTCATAGCATTGCCTCGAATCACAGGAATACACCTTCTGTTCTTGGATCGAACGACTGAAATGGGGGAGGGATTAGAGAGAGGGATTACGGTAGGCTGTAATCTGGATGGAAACGGACGGGGAGGGGTACTGTAGGAGGGGGATTAGGGCACTTTCTGATCCCACACGTATTCGACCCCAATCTTTGCTCGAAAACTACGAAAAAATAGCATTTTTGCCAAAAAAAATTGTTTTCGGGATACGGTAGTTTTCAAAATACGTTTTTGACCGCCAGAATATTGATTAAATTAATTTCCAGTCATTTTTCTAAACCATAGCCTTTTTATTTTTCAAGTTCAGCCACGGCTAATCCTTTCCTGCCTGCCAGTTCGCCGGAATTTGATCATATTTTCCAGAATTTATGCGCTTTTGAGAATTTTGAGGGGGGCTTTCTGTGAAAATGACGGTGCATTGGCCTATTTGGGTGACAAATAGCAAGGAGACAACGAAAAGAGACCAATTACTAGGGGGTAAAATACGCAACTAGCCCGATTACGGTATTCTGACCTGCAGCCAAAAATCCAATAAATTCCCTGCCTGTTCCAATCCCTTTAATTGCCCTGTAAACAGTAGCATACCGGAAAAATGCTCCACAAGCCGCACAGCTGTAGGCCCCAAAATGCATTCCATCACCATCCTCTCCACAGACACCACATTGACGACGTTGAGGGGTACGCGCTGGTCGGGGTGACGGTCTGAAAATGGATTTTAAACGGTTTTAAACTATTTTTCTAATGATTTTCGTATTTTATTGGACTAACGGTAGGGCAGCGAATCGCTTACGACATAAAATCATCCTTAAAATATCGAATGATGCCAATTTTCAGCTGTTTTTCAATTTTCTGCGAAAATTGCCGCGAGGGCCTGGAAAAGTGATTTAAATTGTTTTAAATTACATTAAAAATATTTTTTTGTAGTTAATTTGGCTTACTGACACATAAAGAATCTTTTAATCTGTCAAAAATATGTTAAAAATGGTTATTTATGCAAATTTAATGCCGATTTCATTAATTGGGTTCCAGAAAAGCGATTATGAGTTTTTAAACCCATAAAATTCGGTATTTCACTAATTTTTTTGAGCTTAACTTGCTCACTGTATGACAGAAAAAATCATAAAATTAAACAAGCTTTTTTATGGCCAAATTTATCCCGTGTTTATTGAATTTGGCTGTCAATTTTTGAATTTTTATGCATTTAAAAAAGAGGGCGTTAGGTACTCGCGTTCCACCGATTAGTTCCGGTTAAATAATCTGTAGGTGTACCCTGTTTTGTTGTCATCCAATTAGAGATTAGAGCTCCTTTCTCTCTCTCTCTCTCTCTCTCTCTCTCTCTCTCTCTCTCTCTCTCTCTCGCTCTTCCGCTTTTCCAGAGAAAATACAAAGGGCAAAACAAGGAGGGCCCAATTTTGGAGAACAGATTCCCAGTATGCCAATTGTTAGAAACCATTTCCTAACCCCCGGATAAATCATGCGATTCCCGTATTTCGAAATCCCAAATGATTTCTGCTCGCTTGCCCTTGATTTTTGGGTTCAAAAATCGAGAAATTGCACAAATTCGTTCAAAAATACCTGAAAAATCATTTTGGAAAAAATTAAGTTTAAGTTGGGTAAAATTTAAACTGCTTTTATATAAACTGACATTCATTTTAGCTATTTAAATTAAATTCATATTATAAATAAACTTAGAAAAATTTGAAAATTAAAATAACTTACTGCATAGCTCTTGGGGCGGGTACTCGATGCATTCGATTCGAATTTGTATGGTTGCCTCTTTTTCTTTGCATAAAAATGAATCTGAAATTATCTAAATAAAATCAGCAATAAAATACAGCAAAATGATACAATAAAAATATACACAATTAAAATTAAGCTTTCAAAGTTCAAACTTCGAAAATCCCAAAAATGGCCAAAAATACTATTTCTTCAAAAATTCTTTACTTTCTTTGTCTTTTCCTTTACTTCAAAAAATGATATTGCTTTCTACAATTTAAATTTAAAGAAATAGCAACATACTAAACACGATTAAAATAAAGTATTGAATTACTTAGCGCAGAACATTACAAAAATGGAAAAATCGAGAAAAATGGAGAAAATTTGGTTTTTTATGCTTCTTTAAGCGATAATTCCTGTTTCATTTAAATTTTACATGTTAATCGGCTACAAATTGTTAAAAAACTGCATGGAATAAATTAGGATACCGTCCCCGGCGAATGGGACGGATTCGCGCCAAATTTTGAAGTCGGCCCCAAGAACGGATTTTGACTTTTAGGCCAAAATTTAGGTTTTCGTTAGGCAAAGCTATTCGCTGACAGGCAAAAAGCCTAAAAAAATGGATAAACTACCGTACCACTGGAAACATTTTAGAATTTTAGGTAAAAAGTACATTACGCCACGCAAAAATGCGGTTGTTTAGTATTTTCGATTTTTAGGACTGGAATTAAAAATCTAATTATGGAAATATTTTGCCTAAAAAGGAGATAGGGTCAAAATCAGGATAAACTACGGTAAATCCAAAAATAAAAACCAAAAAAGGAATTTGAGGCAAAAATCATGATGTTGGAGGCGAAACCCAGAAATTCCCGTACTTTCGAGGTTCGATACCCAACATACGCTAACTGGCTGGCAGTTAACATTCCTAGAGCCTAAAAAACACCTTTCCCACCCGAGGGCACGTTTTAGGTGCGAGCTGAAATGGTGTGGGTGTGACCTGGGTGGGTGGATGTTTTATACGGTAGTGGGGGGAGCCTTTCGGAAAGTGGGAGGGGGAGGGAAGCCACGCCCCTTTTCTCTCTGGGATCTCTGGAAAAGACACAATCTCTATAATCCATCCCTGGAATAGATAGTAAATGGAGGAATATATGGGTGGACTACGGGGAAGACACTACTGACGATTCGATTCGCAGAATTCGTAGAAATAGGTTCGGGTGAAAGATCGGCCCCTCTCTTTCTATCGCTTGACTGGCTAGCAAGGAGTAATGTACACAGAGGGCGTTTCTTAGAAGTAACTCATATTCGAGAAAAGATGAGAATTTGGGTACCTGAAAAACGACTCGAGAGTCAACACGACTTTTTGACCTGTACTCGTAGTGTCTGTTAGGAAATAGAAAATTTTGTGAAGCCGAATTCTGATATGAGGGTTTTTTTGGTGAACTGGCTGCCAGAAAAGCGTCTGACACTCAAATTATGACCTTTTCGTCGATGGTTCGAAACCTTCGACGATTTTTCGGTGTTTTGCCAGCGGTTTAACGGATTGAAAAGCCTTCTGAATGCGTTGAGATTTTGCATGGCCCGCGGAACGCAACGCGCCTAGCTTTTCATTGCGTAATCAATTATGTGCCGTTGGCGCTGCTCATTGCGTGACTTGCTGAAAATGTCGTCACCAATAGCTATAGCTAATTGATGCCTTCCCGGTCCCTTTAAAGACGTATTTAGCTCAATTTTAAGCTAATTTTGGCAAGGATAAAACTATGGAAGGCAATAGCTGGCAAATCTTGGCCTCTCAGCACAAGAAAAGAAATGGTTTCGGAAGCTTGTTGTAAAACCCCAAAAAATCGCTAGTCTTTCACGTTATGCGGCGTAAAAGTGGCTTTAACTTTATAAACGTGTCTTTCATCGGGATTCTGAAAGCGACACCGGAAAGTGGAAGGTCGATGACCCCTAGTGACGGAGATTTAGGGCAGTTTGTCAGGTTTTTCTCACAAATCAAGCTTCAAGAGTGGCCGCCGATCAGCAAAACTGGCACACACGCAGATACCAGCCAAAATTTCATGAGCTCGGATCGTTTTCAAAGGTAGAATACCACTTTTGGTTTCTACAGTAATTCCAAGAAGCACCAAATGACGCCAGGAGTAGCGGAACGGAATATTATCGGCCTGGAAGCTGCCTTTGATAGGTGTCTTTTGGAATAGGGGATCAGGAAATGGTGCGCCAAAGCAGGAAGCGCGTGGCTTTTTGGGTGTCATTTCAGATCTTGTCTGTCTGTCTGTCTCTCTCCTCTCTCTCTCCCTCTCTCTCTCTCTCTCTCTCTCTCTCTCTCTGTTTCGATGAAAATCTGCATACCGCGGCGGGGGGGGAAGGATCCGAGATTTTTCTTCCGCCTTCTACCCCATTTCCTGTTTCTATGCTAATTTTTGAGCATTAGCATGCCATAGAGGGGAGGGAGAGACATTTAGTTCGTTTAGCCGGCACACAGACCGCTTAATAAAAATAAAAATCGTCAAAACTAGACTATTTAAAGGCATAACTATGGATTTTACGGATTCTTTCTGGAATTTTCCACTTTTTCAGCACTTTTCATGGCGTAACCAGGGTTGAAAAACAGCTTCGCGGCTTTTCAACCCTGGCCCCGTCTAACGCACACATATTTCTTCACGAACCTTGATTGCAAAAAAAATGAAAAGGACCCCTCTACCCCCTTATATAAGCTGTCCCCACTTCCGGTGCATGCAAATTGGCTCCTAACAAAGAGATTTTCCGATATCTTTACAAAAACCCAATTTTAATTGCGAAAACAGTAATTTTTCAAAACTTGATATGTGTGCACTCATCTCTGCACCATTACGCACCTAACGACGTATCATACGTACCCTAAAAACCTTCCCCTGAGGCTGTAGGTGAGAGACAACCTCACGGAAGTTGCATGCAAATGCACACACACAGACACTATTTTTTATATATAGTAGGATCGAATCGGTTTTCTCTGAAAATTGCGAGAGATTGTCTACTCGCAACGCGACAAACCACGCGCACGCCAGATTTCATTGCGTAATCGATTTATCCCTTTCAGAGAAGCTGGACGTTGCGTCGCGTGTCGCGGGACCAGAACCAACTTTAGAATCTCATTGAATTTTGCCTCGCCGCAATACGTAACGCGCACGCTTACGTAATTCCATCACATAATCGTTCCGAGCTCAGAATGGCTAGGCGTTGCGTGCGCGTCGCGTGGCGCTGACATGAATAAAAATCCATGTGGAATCCATGGCAAAAGTCTAAACAGAGCCACGACTTTCGGGTCCTTTTCGTGGCGTAATCGGATGCCGTCATTTGGAACGTTTCGTACTTGCCCACACGTGTATCCATCCATATCTATCTACTCGAATAGTTCTCTGCTCTGATCAGTCCTTCCTTTTTCTCGTTTCTCCGACTGGAACACACCCAAAATGGGAAAGAGGTGACGACGATTTGGAGATTTCTCTTCCTGTCTTTCTCTCTCTGTCTCTCTCTCTGTCTCTCTCTCTCTCCCTCTCCCCTAACCGATCAAGAGTTCGTGCTCCCCCAAAAAATGGCGCTCATTCTCTGCTCATTTGTTCGTCACGTAGATCGAAGATAGAGAGGGAGAGAGAGAGAGAGCGAGATAGAGAGAGAGAGAGATATCGACCGGCTACCGGATCAAGTACCGGGCTACCTGATTTGGAAGGAGACACCTAGAGATCTTGAGATACTGAGCAGCAGGTGGAGAGTCAGACAGTTAGACGAACTGACAGACCGACAGACATTCTAACAGCCAAACCGACCGAGCACCAGAGTGGATCGAAATCTGGCGTCACCTTTGAGCTGGGGAGCGAGGCGCTGCAGGCCTGATTTTTCCGGGGGATATTTCTCTCTCTTTCTCTCACACTCTCTATCTCTAACCTGCCGAGAGATCTCTCTCTTTTCCAGGGGAACGGGGAAATGATGCTATTCCCCTCCATTCCGCTCCATTCCAAATGACGCCACTTGGTAGATCATGGATTCTTCCGAGATGCCTCACCCTATTTCTGCTTCCAGCTATATTTTTAGCTGCATTTCTATACTTCAC